ATAGAGAGAGTATTTGAAAACCATAAAAAAATTCCTTCTACTAAACGTGATAATCATAAATTATGGTAAGATACATTAATATAGGGGAGGAAATATAGGTAACATATGTTTTTTCTTTTATTGATGTTATATTAATGATTTATTAAAATATATGTAATATCCATCTAAAGAAAATAAGGGAAATCGTTGGTAGTTATAACAAATTTCTCTAATTATTAGTATTTAATTAAAACTAAAACTTAATAGCACATTTGTAATATTAGAAAAAGCTGAGGAGATTTCTAAAATGTACTTTAGTTTAAATAGATTAGATTGTTGGCCGACCATTTCTCCTGAAAAATCGACCAACAATATGAAATTCTAAAGTCAAATGTGAAACCTATCTGGTATCTGCTTTAAAGTGTTTTTTTCTTAATTTATCTACTTATGTATATAAGCAAAATGTTGTGTTAAAAAAAAAAGTATATAAGCAAAATGTTCAATATTGAAACAAAATCTTCCTTTTCTCTCTTGTTCTTACTTGTTCTCCTAAGTTAAAATATTGTTTTTACTCTCTTAATGAAGAGACAACTGAAGCTTGTGAAATATTGAAGAATTTGTCAAACCCTTTTCTCTATCACTTAAACTATGTTTATGCTAACAATTATCATCGCTACGCATAAAAACTAATAACCAATGTTAGTAAAAAAGTTGTTTTTGAACTTTAGTAGAAAATTATTACAACAATTTTCTGTAAATCCAATTACAAAAAAATATAATGATCATTTTATTTTTGTTGCATTTGGAATTGTCTTAAATATATGTGCATTAGTAAAATCCAGCATTCATTGGTATGGTATGCCTTTTAGGTGTAGCAATTTTTTTCTTTTTTCTAAATAAATATATGTTCCTAAAGGAAAAAAGTAATCGAATTTTGAAACTTCTATAAATATAAATCAATGAATTGTAAAGTTATTTTATTCACTTCATAATATACAAATCATAAATAGATATTTGCCTCGATACGTTTTAGTCTCTTTTGTTTTTTCGAGTTTATTGATTTGCATTTGTTAACGACACTCTTCCAAAAATTACAAATATATTAAATTTATTAATTTGATTCAAAGACAAAAAAAAGTTATATATATATAGATGTTATTGGATATGTTACTGGCTAACAAATAAATTCGGTGGGATGAAACAGTAAAGGAGAATTTTTGAAGTTGGTAAACCTACAACTAACGACCTACATTATTATGTTCTTTCTTACTTTGCTAAACATATGATTTTAATTATCATTATTTACCATGATAACTGAAACACGCAACTTAACACACTATTCTGAACAATATATGAAGAACATAGATATTAGAGAAAACAAAAGAGACGTCGATATTACGAACTCGTAATGTCTCGGCCATATCCACAACAACCAACCTTTCCCTATGATTGAGAGAACTTGCAAGAAAACAATAATCAATCACACATAAACCAAATGTCGACTCTTTTCTAGCAAGAGCAACAAGACCTAACAAGTGCAGTTTAAACCACTAACAGTGCTAATCAATTTTGTACCCGACGTGAGTTCGAGTCTTACCTATGCCTCAATTTTATAAACATATATTCTTGTATCAGAGCCTTGGAAATTAGTCGGTTGGGTCACGGCCCGATGGATACCCCGGATTAACAAAAAAGAAATTGCAATATCCTCTGTCAAGTTGAACCTTCTTACTAACTCTGCAACTCTTCTTGTAATTGAGATATTAATTTCTCTTGGTTAAAATTATAGAACTTCGACTAACTCCAATTTGAAAATTACTTCTGACAACTACTTTGTAGTCAAGTTGGCATTTAAAACTTCGATGGGTTTTTAGCAAAAATGGGAAAGAGAATGACTATAAATTTGAAAGTTTCATCCCAATATGAGAGTGAGTGATTTGATTGATCAAACTACAAAAAGATGGGATGTTCGGCGACTACAAGATTATGTTGCGGCAGATGATATACCATTCATTAGATGTATGGCCATAAGCTCTATGCATCGACGGGACACGTACTGCTGGAGCTATATGAGGTCTGGACAATATACAGTTAAATCTGGATACTGGGTGGCGCGGAACATTTTGGGGAAGAAAGAAGACCCTGCAGTATGTGAGCCTAGTATCACAAAGCTCCAAGCACATGCTTGGAAGGTGAGAGCCCCTCAGAAGATATGTCACCTTATGTGGCAGTTGTTATCAGGGCATGTAGCTGTCACGAGCATCTTAAACTACAGACATATGAGATGTGATGCCCACTGTCCTCGCTGCGGGGAACCCGAGGAGACGATTAATCATGCGATATTTGAGTGTCCACCTGCCCTGCAAGTTTGGGCTCTATCATCTACGCCTACCAATCCCGCTCTGTTCCCGGTACAAAGCACGTACGCAAATATGGATTATCTCTTTTGGAGGAAGAATGCGATAATGGAACCAGAATTGGACAGGGACCCTTATCCTTGGCTAATTTGGTACATTTGGAAGGTTAGGAATGATAAGGTATTCAGAGGTATTGATAGGGACCCTTTGGAACTCGCGCGATATGCAAAAAGTGAATGTCAAGCATGGTATAAAGCAAATGAGACGGAGAGATCGGTTCCCATTGGGACCGGAGGAGAAGATAACCAGGCCTTAAGCTTGGGTAACATTTGCATGGTAGATGGATCTTGGACCTCTACAAATGTCTTCAGTGGCTGTGGATGGGTGTTGAAGGATAACAGCGGAAATAACGAGTTATTAGGGCTGTGTAATTTTGATCGAGTGGAATCGGCGTTGCATTCAGAGTTGGAAGCACTGCGGTGGGCAATGGAGAATATGCTTCAACATTCGCCATGTCAGAGCTTCGGGACTGATTGTAAGGAGTTGATCGAGATGCTCAGGAATCCTCACGTATGGCCTACCTTTTCGACAGAACTGGAAAAACTGGAGACGCTGAAGACCTGCTTCCCTGACTTTAAGATTTTCTATGTTCCTAGAGCACAAAACGGCGTTTCTGATTCTTTAGCGAAGACAGCTAGGTCTTTTTTTCGTAAGATTATGTTCGTAGGTTGTTCTATTCCGGTTTGGATTCCCAGGCCACCTCAAATTCTTTGAGTAATAGAGCAGCCGTTTGATGTCAAAAAAAAAAAAAAAAAAAAAAAAAATTTGAAAGTTTCATAATAAATCGGAATGACTGAACAAAAAAAGGAAATTACGCCAAATAAAAAAACATAAATTCACTAATTACCCACAATCTCCTCTCTCTTAGTTCCTCTTTCTATCTCTCTCTACAAATCTAATTTTTTTCTTTTTTGGTTTTCGGTTTTTGGTTTTTGGTTATTGCAAAAATAGCCCAAAAAATAATCAAATGTCTAGTGTGTTGACAATAACTCCCCTTATCGTTATATGCAGTCAAACCTATAAACTGTAGTAATTTAAGTTAATCAGATTGTGTAACATGGATACTATTAGTCACCACTTAACGCATTGATCAACCCACGGGAAGGTTGTCTGTTTTGGCAGTATTAGGAGTTGTTGTATGGTGCAATCTAATCCGGATGCCTGGTTAGATCTGAAAAATATTGAGATGTTTAATTTATTTAAGCTTATTCAACTAGATTCAATTTTAATGGTGTTTTATAGGTATAAGTTAAAACTAAACCCCAAATTTGGTCTCACTTATTTTCATACTCATCTATTATTATTCTTTTCATCTATTATTGGTTATGTTATCAAGAAACTCCTTGCCGCCAATATACTTCCAGAACATATTACAAATTTTTGGGAATCAAATACCTTATTTGTTCTCTACTCTTTTCTAAGAACAAGACACCAATCTTAACTTACAGTTAAAACATTCCTAAATAAATTCAATGATACTATGCTGTCAAATGAGATAAAAGAAAATGTAGTGTCTCGTTTAACCATAATTAAACACGGATGCAACATCTTAATTGTAGTTACCAAATATCTAGAAAAAGTAGATGAGACAGAGAAAGGTAGAATATAAGGCCAAGCGAAGATTATTTCAACGATCGCTGTCTTATGTTGCTTGAAAGGAATGGATGAATTGGGTGAAGTGTCAAAGAGAGAGTCTTCCAGGAGACTGTGAAGATCCTCTTAGAGCCACTCAACACTCTCTTTTTTGTTGGAAGTTGGAACATATGTTTTCAAACAACCAACTGGCAAAGTCTCATGTAATTATTATTATTTTAATTAAAAATTTCTCTGTCTACTATAATTAACTACTCTACTCATTACATTGTCTAGTATCCTTAACTTCGTCTAACCACATAAAAATGACTATGTATTTCTTTTCAAGTTTGCATATCTTGAAAAGTGAAAAGATATGAAAAAAGTTAATCTTTGGATTTGTAAGTTACTAAATTAAATTTGATATGGTGTTGTATTTCTGAATTTCTGTTTCTTGTTTAATTAATAATCTAATTTATATTATATGATGTTTTAGTGACATTTTGTATCCTATAAGAAAATATTCATTGTGGAAGTTTATAATAAAATGAGTAAATAGTGTTTCATCATTAATTATTAAAAAATAGGAAGAGTTTAGAATTTACTAATTATATCGAAACATGAGTTCTTTATAAAGAGAAGAGATTTTAGCGTGTTCAAAACAAAAACAAAAAAGTGTTTATTTAGCTAAGACCTCGACACCTATTTGTGTCTAATATTTTTAAAAATATATTATCATTTTGTTGGTACACAAAATTATATGTAGAGCTAGGTTACCATTGTTTACGCACACAATTAGTTAACTTAGAATTCACTCGGACCGTCAACAATTGGACGAACTATAACATCAACACTAATCATCTTTTTTTGGAACACCAACACTAGTCACTTATCCTAATAAACCACAAATCTATTTATTTTTTCCTTACTTTTGTTACCAACCACTGCCCTACCATTCGTCTCTTTACCTTATATAAAAAAAACATTGGACTTCTATTTACACACCACTTGAGAGCTTCACCAGAAAACGATACAGAAAGAAAAATCATACTTCTTACACAAATATTTTGAAATTAAAACAGACTATCCCTCAATATTCAACTAAATAGTATACATGGCTACTTGGGTTTTGCATTATCTTCTCGTGGCATTTCTGGTCACCATAACTTACAGCATCGACGCAGCGTCTGCAGGAATCACGCGACACTACACCTTCCATGTAATTATAAAGCAGTCTCATTTTGAGTCCATATATATATATATATATACCAGTTAAAATCTTTGTTTTATATGTTAGAATATAAGATATTTTTTTAATCAATGACTCCAATTCCCTTCTGGCAGATTCAACTTAAAAACATCACAAGATTATGCAAGACAAAAACCATCGTGGCAGTCAACGGAAAATTCCCAGGACCGAAGGTTACTGCAAGAGAAGGAGATAATCTACAGATCAAAGTTATTAATCATGTCTCCAATAACATTTCCATACACTGGTAAACTACTAGTTGCTTATAGTCTTGCAATAATAATAATTTTTCAACTCTTGTTCTAATTTTCTTTGAGCCCCTCAATAAATAAATGAATGTATAAAACGTAGGCATGGGATCCGGCAGCTAAGGAGCGGATGGGCGGATGGGCCGTCGTATGTGACACAATGTCCAATTCAGACCGGACAAAGTTATGTTTACAATTTCACAGTGATCGGACAAAGAGGAACCTTGTGGTGGCATGCACACATTCAATGGATGAGAGCCACCGTGTACGGACCACTGATCATTCTCCCTAAACTCCACCAACCTTATCCTTTTCCCAAACCCTACAAACAAGTCCCTATAATCTTTGGTAATTTATCTTCTGAACATGTAAATTTACGAGTCCCAAAAGAGTAGCGTTCTGTTCAAGGGATTTAACAATTGATGGTTTTAATTTATTTATAGGTGAGTGGTTTAGTGCTGATCCTCAAGCAGTGTTACAACAAGCTCTTCAGACTGGTGCAGGCCCAAATGCCTCTGATGCTCATACTTTTAACGGGTTGCCAGGCCCATTATATAATTGCTCCACAAAAGGTAATTATCATATTTCTTAAGTTGTTATGTCCAAAGTTAGTTGCAGATTTTAGTTTTGCAACACTTAATACCTAATTTTTTTTCAGACACATACAAGTTGGTTGTGAAACCTGGAAAGACATATCTACTACGACTGATCAATGCTGCACTCGATGATGAACTCTTCTTTACCATAGCCAATCATACATTGACAGTGGTCGAGGCTGACGCTAGCTACGTTAAACCATTCCAAACCAACATTGTGCTTCTCGGTCCGGGACAAACCACCAACGTACTACTCAAAACCAAACCTATTCACCCGAATGCAACCTTTTACATGCTTGCAAGACCCTACTTCACGGGCCAAGGAACAATCGATAATACAACCGTCGCAGGGATTCTCAAATACCACCATAAACCTATGTCAAACCATTTTAACTCTTCTAAAAGCCTTCCGGTTATTAAACCCTCTCTACCTCCTATCAACAGTACGAGCTACGCAGCAAATTTTACAAAAATGTTTAGAAGTTTGGCCAATTCTAGATTCCCGGCAAACGTTCCAAAAACCGTAGACAAGAATTTTTTCTTTACGGTCGGTTTAGGAACCAACCCTTGTCCTAAAAACCAGACCTGTCAAGGACCAACTAATACCACAAAATTCGCAGCATCTATCAACAATGTGTCTTTCATCTTACCAAACAAGACGTCTCTATTACAATCATACTTCTCTGGCATGTCTAAGAAAGTTTTCACGGCCAATTTTCCAACTACCCCTGTTTTCCCATTTAATTACACGGGTATGCCACCAAACAACACAATGGTCTCAAGAGGGACCAAAGTTGTGGTCTTGAAGTACAACACAACTGTCGAATTGGTCTTGCAGGGCACTAGCATCTTGGGTATCGAGGCACACCCTATTCATCTTCATGGCTACAACTTTTATGTGGTAGGTCAAGGGTTCGGTAACTTTGACCCGACCCGCGACCCAAAACAGTATAACTTAGTTGATCCGGTTGAGCGAAACACTATCAATGTCCCTTCTGGTGGTTGGGTTGCCATCCGCTTCCTCGCTGATAACCCTGGTAATGGTTTAAGTTTTTTTTTTAGTGTTACAACATATATTATGCGGTTTTGAATATTACTGATGATAATTTTATTGTTTAATAAAACTATAGTTTCTTAATAGTTTTTGTTTGATGGTGTCAGGTGTGTGGTTCATGCATTGCCACATTGAAATTCATTTGAGTTGGGGCTTGACCATGGCTTGGGTGGTTCTGGATGGAGACCTCCCAAATCAGAAGCTTCCTCCTCCTCCCTCGGATTTCCCCAAGTGTTGATTCGGACCAATCCTACTTATCTGCTTTTGCCACGTCATTTTTTTCTTTCTGGAATGATATTTCTTTAAAATGTGCAATATGTTTTTCGTTTTCCTTTTATTTTTGTGTTTTTCTTTTATTCATGACCTGAGAATTCTGGTTTTTATTTTATTTTTTCTCCTTTCATATTGTAAAAAGATGAGTGAACTGAAGAGCTTTGTTAGCGGATCGCGGTAATATTTCTTTGTACATTATTTGACGCAAAATAAATAATTATTTTAATCAACAAATAAAGTCATTAGCAAAAAATCTGCAGCGGTCTTGCTCGTTTTCCATTATCTTGGTTAAACGAAACAGTTTATTTTTGATAGATGACTGACGAATGAAGATGGAGTCGTTGGCAACTTTCATTGGATTCCTTATATAATAGGGAGAATTTGTCAAATGATTGAAATGGAAATTAAATGTAGAGTATTGATTTTGATATAATTCGATCATAACAATTATGTCAAGTTTTATCTGGTACTATTATTTTACTAGGTTCATAGCCTCCGCACACGCGCGGAGCCGGAGACAGTGATGATGTGTTGTGATGTTTTATGGATGGGATTTTGTCATTTGTTTTGGCATCTTTTTTTGTTCGGGATTTAACCAAAAACCCGACTGAATTGAGTTGATATATGAATGAGTGGGAATTCATATACTTTTAAATATTCATATATTATTTTAGTAATGATTTTCTCGAGTATTTGTGTTATTAGTGCTTTCATGTTCATGTTGGGTGGTTTATTGGGTTGTTATTGTCTAATTTGTGGATTGGTAGTATATTATAGTTAAATATTGAATTGACATTTTAAAAAAATGTTTTAAAGATTTTTTTTTTAAATTATATAAAGAAACTAGGACCAGTCCGCGCTACGCGCAGGATTTAATTTAATTTTTGCTACTTTAGTTTGTATAACTGTTATTTGGTCTTGTTGTTTGTGTGTGTAGATGGTGTGTAGGAGTGGTATCTTTATGAAAACGATTTATGTTTTAAAGTATGTTTGAGATTGATGGTTTGATTGGAAGGGGGATTGTATCAAGGATGACTTATTTACTTTACTCATGGTGGTTGTATCTATATTATGATGTTTGGTTCTTTTTTGAAAGTTTATTTTTACTCATAATTGGGAGAATACTTGTTGTTATATGATTTGGCCTTGAAGGGATTAGTTTGTGTTTTTAAGAAATTATTTTTATAGATCTTTCGTGGTTAATTGGTTACCTTGTTCAAGACACCCAAATTTGAAGATGAGAAAGTTTGAAATGAGTTTGATTGACGTTTTATGTAAAATTAGTTTCAAGGAATGCTATCTAACCCCACGTTTAGTGTGAACTGTGTTATCATTAATTTGAACACCATGAACACAACACAAAAGACTTAGTTTTTCTTTTGAATTTTTTTTTGTGTTTGTTGATAATTTATGTGCACTCTATCTTTACGAATCATAATGACAGTTAAGTATAAAATAATGCTATAGTTTTTATTTTTGAATTTGGTAGGATGCATATATTTTTAAGACTCTTTTTTGAACAACTATATTTTTGAGACTATATTATGATTTCCGTCTTATGGACGGATAACTAAATGAGTGAATGATATAAAGACATCCTAAATTTACTATCATTTAAATAAAAGCAACATGAGCTTTTATTATTATTATTATTTTTTTGCTAGATATCAAACATTTATTTCATCAATAAAAAAATATTTCATGTGAATTTGGTTGTTTTACATTTGTTTAAGAAAAAAATATTGATTATAATATTAAGTAAACTCATGGTGATTGGGTGTAGAACACAAAATATGGATTAATGTTGACTGAGTTGCAAAACATGTATTATTTCTTAAATGTTTGTTTTCTAGATTCATAGTACTTTTGTTTCTAACTTGTTTATTTTCCGAAAATGGTAGATTAAACAATGTGTAAATGAAGTTATTTTAAAATTAAAAATAATGTTATTCGTTTCTTTGTAATAGAAAATATCTAAAATTAAGTAAACACCACGAAAATCTAATATTGAGTAGTACTTTCTTTTGCCAGCTGAGTGTTATCATTTAAAATGTACACCACTAAATATTTATATGTTATTGTATTTAATACTAAATAAATATGTTATCCGAATAACCCATTAAGGTTTTAAATAGTACTGATTATTAGACTATATTTTTCACATTAATTTTCTTATATTTAATTAATTAACTATATATTTGGGAAAGTGTATCATATTTTGCGTTGACCTTATTATATGTTAAAAAACAATAAGTAGATATCATTATTCAAGTTCGGCATACAAAACACACACACACCAACAACCCTATCCGAGAAACTAATACCATCAAGCTCGTCGCCCTCAAGTCTCCTAAAAATGATGAACAAAAAAAATGAAACACTGACTCTTTAACACATAGCACGTCATCACCATACCTCAACCACAAGACCTACACTCACAAAAAAAGTAACAATAAGACTCAAAACTCCTCGAAACGTCTGTGGCACTTTCACCATCATCAAATTTAAATATTAGTTATATCATATGCATATAGGTCAAGGGTGAAACCTATATCATTTGCTCACAATTGCTAAAGTCTTCAACTTGTTTAGCCTTCCTTTTGTAGATAAGATGATGGAGTTGCTTTTCCTGTAAACTTCCTGCAAAAATCAACCACAAAGCCCAAGTGTAACTCTGTTGTCCTTCACTGTACTCTGCTCCATAAAAGTAGCAAAACTCATGCCCACACCTACAAAGAACACAACGCGGTGTCTCAATACTGATATAAGAAACAAAGCCAAACAATGTATAGATATGAAACGTTCTATGAGTGTATGTCTTACCGGCAACGAAAAATCCTGTGGTTGCAGCCTTGAGCATTTAAAAATCATTACACAACATTACTGACACCGGCTCCACCTCTTATACCTAGCCAAGCGATGCAATATGATATCATCTTGATATATTTCATGAACCTGAAGAATCTGAAACTCTTCACGGCTCATAGATTCACGCCAAGGAATACCACAGTCCACAGACGCAAACCTCTCAGAGTGGACACTTCACACAACAGCTATTCTCTGTCTGACTACACGAGCTTGAGCCTTAAAGCTTGTTGAAGATCACATAAAGGAGCAACCTTTAGAGCAAACTCATTTTATTTAAACGAATAGAAAACAAAGAGAGTCTAGAACAGTTGTGAAAAGGCAGTCTAGAACACACCTGCTGCTTAAATAGCTTCTTCAAAGTTTTCTCCTTGATATCAAACAGTACACAATACTTTATCGTTTTCAGAAACCTATGACCATGGAAACACAGAGTTAGTAAAGCATTCATCCTTTTATCTAATCACTCGTCAAATCAAAAATCAAGCACCATTCAAAATAAAATAAAGGCAAGGGTTACATGTTCTCTTCTGAGTTAGAAAAGATTTTTATTTAAACATCACTAATCTAAATGTGAGCCAGAAATAAAACTCACACAGACAAAACCTAACCCAAGAAGCGTATAAATTACAATCAGGCCAGTCCTCTCCTTCAGATTAAGTCAATCTCTTGCAGTTTAAAAGTGCAGAATCACATACATAATTTAGTTAACGAAAAGTAACAAATTATCAAGGCTTGTGTTGTAACCTGAGGCTGGATAGTAATAATAAAGTCATTTAGTACAGTAATGGTGAATTGGTGAGAGGCTCAGCTCTGGCGTAACCCTTCAACAATGTAAATGTCAATGATAACAATTAAGATTTTTTGGATTGGCAGCAGAAAGGCCTAAGCCCAAGTCCAAGTGGGATTGTCAGTTTGTATAAACTATAAGCTGTGACATAAACAAACTTCTGGTAAATCTGTTGCCACAGAGCATTAAATTTGAGAAAACATCAGATGTGTTTGAGAGAAATGAAGATGTCATATATGAATTAGGTGTTTGTTTCCAAGAAAGCCAAGAATATGAGACATGAGACAAAATACCTGTTAGTAAGTTTTGCTGAAAAACCTTGAGAAGCCATGTCCATAACTGTACATCACTGAATTATGAGCATTCCCTTTACTCTAATCATGGAAACAAAAAACGCATGAATCTAAGTAACAGTCGAGACATTAATATAAACTTGGGAAAGAGAAACAATTCTTACATATCCTCCAGGAAGTGATGAGATTCTGTGACAAACTCGGGATCATCATGTTCTTCTTACTGAAATACACTATATGAACCTATTATGGTTTTTGACAACAGAACGATCTATGAGAGTTACGAAAATGAAAGAAGATCAAGGAGAAGAAGACTTACCAAATTTGTTAGTATATTGGTGTCTAGCCATGTCTTCACTCTTGCCAAGCGTCTCTGGCGACCCCTAAATATGGTGACTCACTTACAACTCGTTTCGAGATCTTCTCGTTACGCCACCGTGAAGTTATCCGAATCTGCCTCCTTATGCTCATGTCGTCTCTTCTCCACCTTTTCCAAAACAACCCCACCTCTGAATCCCATCACCGGAGATGGAGATCGACACGAGAAGCTACGGAATCTCCGAGTACTTCTCAGCAGAATCGAATCGAATCGGCGCGTGGAGATCTCACCTCGATCGTCCAATCAGGAACATTACCGAGAGAACTCTTCTCCGCCTTCTCGCTATCTTCTCCGTCGCTGAAGAACGATTTCTCCTACTTGCTCTTCTCCGTGAGAACCGAATCACAAAAAAAAGGAGTAAACAAAAACTCAAACCGTGTGTTAAAAATGATGATGCATAGAGTTAAGATCATCTATGCATACGAAGAGATCGGGTATAAACAATTAGGAAATCTGAAAAGTTAGACGGCTGCAGAAGGGGGAATTGAGCAGCCCTAATCGATATCCCAGACAACGATTCAAAGAATGCACTTAATGGGCTTTCGGTTGAGGAAATATAAAGATGAGGCCCAAAAAAACAATGTCTTAATCCGGTTTGATTGTATCGCGTGGACAGATGTCAGATTAAGGTGAGACTATTTTGTGACATCCCTTTATGACGTGGGTGAAGGAGAAGAGAGTAGAGCTCTTCTTTATATATAAAGATATAGTGTCATGGATTGAATAGAGAAAGGGGAAACGTGGTTGTTAAGGGGTTGTGCGGAATGTTTAAGGGTTAATATTTATTAGTGAGTAAAGATCTTATTTTATTTGCAGATAAGAGTGTTTAACGAATTCATACGTGTTCGTATTTTTACTTTTTTGTACGATTTAATCGGATTTCAACATTATTAGTGATTTAATGACCATATGTAGCCGAACATAGGTATTTTTTAATACACAACTCTAATATGAGAACGAAAAAGGAAGTGTTTTGTTATCCGAAAAGAAATATAGTTTTTTTTTAATGTACCCTGGCATGTTTTTGAAAATATATAATTGTCGTTTAATAATGCTATAATTTCGTATAATTACATACTTGTATGAATAAGATAGTTATTTTTAGGTATCTGTTCAAAATTATTTTGTGGTAATTTAAAAAATAGGAATGGTGGATTAAAAAGTTTAAAGTGATATAGGTCTATATTCGAGCATAATGAAAAAGTAGTATATGGGTTTTTAAATGATTGGGCTTGAAATTCGATGGCCCTTGAGTCTCAATTTAGATCTGAAACCGGAATAATCATTTACTTCCCCTTTTTGTTTCTCCTCGTCGTCTTCAGCAGTGGGACAAGCTTTTGTGATTCTTGGCATGATTGCGTTTTTAGTGTACCCGTTTCTAAAATTATAGCTGTTCTATAGCAGCATGGAAGAGAGATTTTCTCACCTCAGTTAAGGCCGTCTCCTCCGCATTCCTTACTAAGTGAACTTCTGTTGATTTGGCGTTCTCAAAACCTGCAATAAGAAGGTTTGAATTTTTTGTATTACTTTGTTTCTATTGTTATTAGTTTCGTTTACAAAAACTTATATTGAATGATTGAGGTTCTATATGTTTAATTTGGTTGGTATGGTTTATGTTTACGTTAACATAAAGAGAGACTCGAAGGTTGTATGTCGGATGTTGGTGACGCTAGTTTTAAGAACTGGAGAAGCATAAAGAAACATTTTCTAGAAGATGGTTAAAGTTAAGAGGAATCGATGAATTTTGTGGAAATGCAGATAGGGTTCATCAAAGATGAGAATCATATATATAGGTTTTACATAGGGGCTACAAATCAGAAACATTTAAGATCAAGCGATGTAAGATGGGGAAATGAAGAGTTCACCAGCGAAAAAAAAAAATTACGAACTGACACACGGCATAGCTCTGTAACTCCGACTTGTTTGAGACGATGATGAAAGGAATCTTAACTCATACTAAACGACGACGGTTTACAATATGGAAAACTATAACTGTTGTAAGCTTGAGGATTTTATTCATATAACGTCATGAAGCCCTATTAAAAATGAAACTCCTAATACACTTGCAAGCCCGACCTTTAAAGGAAGCCAAAGAAGCAAGGGTTTCTGGCTTTCATAAATATTTATTAATTTCGGCCATCAATGTACAAGTTATCCTTTAGTTTAATGGTATGAATGTTAGTGTTTGTATCTTAATAATCTAAGTTCGAATCATGGGTTTGACACTTTTCATATTTTTTAAAAGTGGATCCCACTTGATGCTGATGTGGCGCGCTGAGGAGTCTTGAAACTCAACTATTATAATATAGATTGTTCAAGTTGCTAATAATAGAAAAAGAAATTGATGATATCACACTATATAATTAATTATCACACATCATAATATCGTTAATACCATACGCTTGTTTACCATATAAATATAATCCGATTTTTCTACACCATATTACTGAAACAGAATAAGATTCCAAATCTACTAATATCTTGTAAAAACTAAACTTTATTCCAAACCTCAACCTATAAATACTAAACTTTAAACATCATCATTCTATATAAATAGTAAACCTTAACCCTAATTACTAAACCCAAATTTAAATGTTAACTATAGTTATCAAATTCTGAAAATAGTATATAGTATTAAACTTAACTTTTGAACAGTATAGGATTATAAGGCCTCGATTAGTACAACAGATGATAAAGCAGCGGCAATATATAATTTTAAAATTATTATAATAGTTACTATAATAATATATTTATTTTAAAATAATATATATATATTTATAATATATATTAATAGTATATTTTATTAAGGGGGTTTTGCAAAACCAACCTAAAATTTCAAGTCAAACACAAAACCAACCTCTTTTTTTTTGTCCATTACTATTCACTCTTAAAAAACCTAAACTCTCCTCATGTTTCCACTTATTTACCAAATTGCCATTATTTTTAAATCTGATTTTATTTTCGAAAATTATTAAAAACCTATTACACCCTAAACATTTCTC